GATACCTGAAGGACTGAGCTCACTGTTGCAGTTGTAGGCTGCTATGAATGGAGGCAGTGTAAGTATAAAGGGCCTTCTAGAAAGCTGCTATCATTCTGGTGTGAGTACAACCTTAGATGTGCAGTATATCTACCTCACTTGGCATAGCTGAGCCACTCTGGCAGAAAAGCGGTCGGGAAAGTATCCCAAATTAATCCACTGACTTCAATGGCTGTAAAGCATTTTCAGTGCTGGAGAAGTGGGGAATGCATTGGATCCCTGTGCACCTGCTGAGACAGGTACGCTGGCAGCCCCCCACATGCCAGATGGGTGGAAGCATTCCTGGGGTGCTGCCCTTGTACAGCAGCACAGAGCAGCTGGTCAGCTTTCTGGTAACTCCTGTATGAAAAAACTCCCTAGGAGGAGTCTTTCCCAGGGAACCCTTGGGTTTTTTGTCTGCAAAGGAAGACAAAAGCAGGTTTAAGTCCAGCTCCAGTCACTGTTCTGAATGTGAGCAGACAAAAATGACTGTGCTCTGTTGCACTGCAGACACGACTTGCTTAACCATCTGCTCTAACTCCATGCATGTGCTGACAACTTTAATGGAAGCCTGCAAATAATTAACCATACGCTTAACCTTCTTCCTCAACAAAAGACATGAAAACCATGTTTGAGAAACAGGGTAGAACAAAATGGATAATATCTTCTAAATGTCCAAGTATGCAAATTACTTCTTGGTACCAAGAAGATGGCCATCAGCCCAGCCAAATTTGAGATTACAAAAATGAAGATCACAATACAGGGGCCATCCAATAGCTGTGATGCTTCAGCTTCTTACAAGTGTGGGCTCTAAAAGATGGAAAAGGACAATCTCTTGTTCAGAGATTAGAGTAGAGCCTCAAAGCAACAACACTCCCTGCTGCAATAAGAGAACAATCCCATCACTCCTGTGGATGTGTCAAGTGGGAAAAACACTAAAACCAGTATCCCAGATTAGTTACACATCAGCAACTCTCAGCATGGATACTTAATTCAGGGTAAAAATTGCCAAATGTGGAGTTAAAATTATAGTTGTATAATTCCACTGGTAAAATTTCCAAGGTATACTCCAGCATGTGGCTGAATGCCTGTTTTGATTTGTGATCTAAGAGAGCCATTTTTCAACAGCTGGTGAGAATTCAGTTTACTTAGGACTGCATATACTTCTTGCTACAAAATATATACATGGAAATTGAAAAGAATAACTTGAAAGGTTGTTGTTTCTAGGAGGGTGGTGGGTTGATCAAGAAGAAATTGGATCCAGATTCCTGTTTAAATTCTGGTGTTAATTATGTGGTGTAACTCCCTCTGAAATTAATGAAGCTGTGCATATAAAAAAAGGTACAATTGAGCTATTTCTGCTTCCTCTGTTATACATGAAGGCTTTGCCAGTCTACTATAGCACAGGGAATATTTAATTATTAGTAGGTACAGTTACATCAGCAACCACTACAGGGGAACTCCAAAACTTTTAAGATGTTGAATAAAATGTTTAGAAAAACAGAAAATCCCTTTTACAAAAGGCACTGAGGTGTCCAGGGCTTTCAGTGAGCAGAACACAAAATAGAGTTTAGGTTTAATTTGAGAAATTTGGTAAGTGCCTAATTTAACCTTTAACATAAAACTTTCAAATACGCCTTGGAGGAGTAGTATAACTGTCAAAACTGTTCATACAAGACTGCAAAAAAAATTAGTACTTGCCTAATTTTAACCTTACTGTATAGGAGTAAACCAGTGGCTTTTTCTCTTAGCATTTTTAGGTAGGATTGTACAAAAAGGAAAAGCTGCGTAAGCCAAGCAGAAAATGATAAAAGCAATGCAAATTGTTTCAAGAGTTCTGTACCATGCAGAAACTTAAAAGAAAACTAAGATTACTCAATATATTTTAGAGAAAAAGCCTGAATAAAAATCCTAGATTCATACTCTCCTGAAAAATTAAGAATCTAGTTTCTGATTTTCCATGCACACCCAGTTTAGTACTCCCACACTCAAACAAACATTCTCAGTGTATGTTGTAAATTACATTTATATTATGCATATAGCTTTAACATATGATAGTAACTTAAAAGCAGAGATACAGCATTACTCAAAAAGTATTTATGTAGCTTTTCAATAGGTGTTTTTAACACCTGATGCCAGCTTTTCAAAGAGAAAAAGCAAAGCCTTTAATGTGACACAATCTAGATATTACATAAACCACAAGTGGATACCATGAATTAGATACTGACATGTCAGTACCTAATACTACACACTCTCTTCTTTCCTTACAAGGGCAGGTGTCCGATATACTTCCACAGTGACAGGAAGAATAACTTCTGTTTTACTCTCATCACTGAATCACTGACATGTAATAAATGTTATCCTCCCTTTGGTAAATCATTTGATAAATCCATGGAAAGAGCTTACTTAAGGCCAAGGTTTTTGATAGCAGGTCACATTTCCAAAGATTTCTTTGGTTTGATTTCCCCTATTTAACCATATTAATAATGGCAGTAATTTAGAATTATTCAGTCAAATGAACAAATGGGCATTTCACATGGGAAACCTTTTCAGAATTGTTCAACACTGGCAGCCCTTTTGAATGTTGGTTTTTTGTTTGGTTGGTTCTGGGTTTTTTAAACTTTTCAGTACTGTCTTAAAGAGACTTATCCAAAGCCACTGAGGAAAATGGGCATGTCTCTGGTGTCTTCTGTAGGACTTGGATCTGGTCCAAACCAAGTGGGAATTAAAGTTCAGTCATAAAAAGTGTTACAGTCTAACTATTATATGAGCTCGTTATCAATAATTAACATGTTTTCTCTTTTCTGCAAGTGCCCATATCAACCAGAAGATACAGCCAAGATGCTCTATCTGACAACTTTACAAGCTGCACAGCACCCATGCCAGGCACCAGATATAAAGATGATATTTATGATTCCGGAATCATGAAACCCAACAAAATAGAGACCAGGATTCAACCACCTCACCACCTCATTAAAGAAGAAAACAAGTTAGCTTTTAACAGAGACCTGCAAGAAAAAATGAGCATTAACGAAAGTTCTTTTACAAACTCAATAGCTAACTCCTTGCTGCCAAAATCAGAGTGTTTCCAGTCTAAAGCTATAGGACAATTAAGTCATCTCCTGCCGATGCCCTCAGTATATGAGCAAACAAGAAGGATTTGTATGAAAGAACCCAAATATGGGCATACTAGTCACCACGCTACAAATCTAGATGACCTGGACAGTGATGAGAGAATGACTGTAAAGCTTGATCATGACTCTGAAAGTGAACGTGTGATGGATGTGAGACACTCTGGACAAGTTCCATTTGTGCTTCTAAATTATCACCATGTTTTAGCCAAACATGGTACATTTCAAACTTCATCATGCACAGCAACAGGACATGTAGGAGAAAACTATGGATACAATTCTGAGGAAGTAAACACGTTTATTTACAAAAACCAAAGCCCCTCATCAGCTTCTTCTCCAGAAGCCCACAAGGAATCTGCACTACCCCATTATATTGGAACTTCTGTAATAATAGCCAATGGAAGGTGACGGTAATAGAGGAGTATTTACATTGAACTAAGAAGCCAAACTGTAATGATTTGCAAAAACCATGAGAAAACACGGTTACATATACTGAGTATAGCTGAAGGTCAATGAGGGACAGACTCACGTGTTCCTGGCAAGGACCTTCAAGGTCAGGAAAAAAACCTCCATCTAGCTTCCATGCTTTGTTGTCACAGATTAAGCTCTGGTGCCAGTGAGAAGACATGTTACAGATCTTATTTTTGTTATTTTATAGTGTGCAACAAAATTAAATGATAGGTGTTATATGCAGAGATTTATATGAAGAACATTTTTTCCTTAACCCTTCCTTCTCAAAATACATTCAAGATTTTTTATCATTAACTATACACTCTAGTTTAGGTATTTTTGACAAACCGTGTGAAATGTTACATCAGCTCCCTGCCCACGTGTTAAACACCCTGACAAACGAACTTTGTTTAAAGAGTGGTGATTTTTAGTATTCATAATACAGCTGTACTAACTAAAAAAAACTCAGTTTGGAAAAGCTTATTTATTAATTATCCAAAAGTTTTAAAACTAAATAAATCAAATCTAAATTTGATTTATTTAACACAGATTTCAGTGTTCTGAGCTTGTTACCACCACCATTTATCTTGACAAGGAATGATATGACAAATTAATACATACAAAGATACATATGAAAGGGTTACAGGTCTTGTCACGGCAAATTGGGACAAATCACGTAGCAGGAACTAAAGGCTACTTCCCACAAAATATTGTAATAAGAAAAAGAAACTTCTGAAAACTGTTTCATTGAGTATCGTGGGAGAAGGTTGTGCAGATATTCAACCCAGCTAGTCAAAAATACGTCTTAACAGCACCAGAAATGTTTTCTTTATAGTCAAGGGAATAATGAACATTTATGCTTTATTTTAACCTTACCAGTAGCCTTCTGAAGTTTGAAAGGTTCAGCTTTTAGCACACTAAACTTCCTTAAGCATAAATCTCATTGTCAACACAAAGGTAAGATTAATATTTGATTGATTCGTGCACTTCACAAATAATGTCCGTGGACAATCCGAATACAGAAACTCAAAAGTCGCTGCGCAACCACAGAAGCCAAAGTTGCACTTGAAGTAAAGCAGAGCTTTATGTTGGCGTTTGGAACAGAATGCTTGTACACATCTCAATTTGTGCTAATAAACTGTAGCAAGCGAAAAGCGTGCAGCACACGTTTACGTTTTGCCCGGCCTATTAAGAATAGATTTCCCCCCTTTCTTTACTTTGTAAAGTTTACAAATGAGGAGACAAACGAATCTGTGTGTGTTCAATTGACAAGTCAGTCCACTCTGTTTTTCAGCCCCTTCCCCAAACATCCTTTGTGTGCTCTTGATAATCAACAACCAATGGCTTCCTAAATATTAACTGTAAATGTCAACAACAAAGGTTGCTGTAGATCTGGGCCAGCTATCTGAGCCCAATTCGAGGCTAGTTAACATGTTTAATACTTTCTCCCTCTGATCAGACTCTCTCAAAAGAGATCTTCACTTAAGAAAATGCTCACCTGGCTTGTGCAATATGGAAAAACACTTGCTCATGGATTGCACCTTCTCAGATAAAAATGTAATTAAATACTTTTAAAAATTACACATTCTCCATCTTTTATATGCAGCAATAACATGCAGTTACCTCCTTGTATGTATGAATATTTACTGCTATAAGTACACAGAAATACTTTAAAGACATAGGTTTGAAAAGAATTGTTAGTATTTTTATTGCTTCCTATTACAGGGTTAACAGAGAAGGCTTTCTTATGAAGTTAAATTGATGTTCACTTGGAAGTCCACAGTTGTCTCACTTCTTCATTTGCTAAAAAAGCACAAAAAATATCTTTTGCGGTAAATATAACAAAAAATACCTAATCAGCCATTACCAGAACACTGACTTTAAAAAAAAAAAAAAAAAGCAGCAGAACCAAACCGGCATTTTCACTCACTTGGTGTAACTGCACTCCTTGGTTTGTCTAATGCTAGAGAAGTTAGCAAATCTACACAAATGTTATGAGTGAATATTATTGTTATTCTGGCTTTACAAATCAAGGTGATGAGACACAAGTTGGTTTTACAGTGGCTTTGGTTAACAGCCTTCCCAGCCAGCGTTACTAATAAATGGGCCCAATTCCTTAAAAGACACAATTATGCCAAGACTTGTATGTTAATTTTGTTAAATTCAAACCATGCCCTGTAAAGGAGTAACTGACAGTGTTTGTATCATTAAAAAGAAACCTGATGCACAACTCTCCGATACCACACTTTTCTCTATACCTCATTAGGGGCGCTACTGCACACAAAGTCAATCTGGTGTATTTTTTCTGTTCTTTTAAGTACTTCTCACTATAAAAACACATTTTCAGGAACGTACAAATTGGGCTTCAGTTAAACAAATGTCATTGATATTTTTTCAGTAAAATACCACAAAATATTTTTCCAGCGTCTACCTTGTTATTCACACTTCCAGGCTTTATTCAAGGAGCCTGAGCAGCGGAGGCGTTCCATCATTCTCCTGCAGATGGTTTACAGTATGCAATATTCAGGTACATGAACTTTCCCTGTTAGGCAATAACGAATCAATGATGCATTCACATATGACAACACAGGGTAGGTTTAGAAAAGAGTGGCGATTAAAAAAGCAAATGTGTGGAGCACTTTTCCTGCCATTCCAAAACAGAAACAGCAATTGCATGTTCACATCTGGAATGTGAGTAAATTATATAGGACTTTTAATCAGTGAAACTACAGATGTTCACAGCACACTCGTACTGCAGAGTGTGGCACAGCCATTGACAGGGGCAATGAGCTTCGTAATTGGAAAAAATTACAGCACAGCACTGGAGTGTCAATTGGAATATATTATGAAAAATAAGCTCATTTCTCTCTACCATACTTATCTGAGCCACTATAGATACCTTTGTCAGGTGACTTGATAGGATTTTATCTCTTAGGGGAGTTCAGATCTAGCAAGTAAACAATACAGAGTATGAGAGAGATAAAGAGAGTGAAAGAGGGAACTCTTTACCAAAACATAAAGTTGGAAACATTCATCCTATATTGAGGTCCCAAACTTTTTATCCCACTGATAACAGAAGCAGCGCAATGTCACAAAGGTGACAAGGGAACAGACTTCTCCCCAGGTCGCAGCAGCCCTGGAACGTGAAAAAGGGTATTAAGGTAACTTAATGAAACTAAGCACAGTGGACAATAGGTGTAAAATTGGAGAATATATCACTGAGATAAAGTGCAAATTAATACAAAACCTGCCAGAATACCAGTATTTCTCTAAAAAAAAAAAAAAAAATCAAAAAATCACAAAACAGGCCACCAAGTATTTTTTCAATGTTTCAGTCATACTTCAAAAACAACACAGAGGAAACTTTATTATTCCATTCTCCCCCTGAACATTAGATTTTGCTTTTTTTATATGATGCAGATAAAAGCTATTTGGCAAATGTAGGTGAAGCAGCACGCAAAACAAACAACCTATTAATGCTCAGAATTATATATGTATTCCCTAAAAATGTAAAGCATTTTTGCTTATTTATTATGTAAAACAAAACTGTTAAAATGTTAATAAAATCCTGTAGCCAAAGGAAAAGGGAGTTGGATTTCTTTTTTACTACAAAACAGAGGGTTTCACAAAGAATCATGTTGCATATTTGAAAATTGATTTCAATTGTAATACGTTCTATATTTGACAGTTAACGTACTATAAAATACAAGGAATTTTTATTTATTTATTGTATTTTAACCATGTTGCATTTTAAAGGAAGACTCCTGGAGAACTTAAAATAACAGAGAACCACTAATGAAATGCGCTAATGCAAGATCCTCAAACACGACATCAGTTCACAATTCTTCCCTGCAGCTCTTTTTTTCTCAGCTGTGTGTTACATGACCGCAGCCTGTGGCACACTGGCATTTTTTGACCTCTCTTCTTTCCTCAGTCCAGATTTAATTTCTTTGGTGTCTGATCAGCGTGGTGCATCACCGCAGTAACTTACGCATGCAAATGCTTTTATCAAACCAGTTACCCCCAGGAATCAGCTCTTCGCGGCACAAATCTTCTTCATGACAGATATTAAGCTGTACTTAAATTCTTTTATTTATATACCTACTGTATATTCCAAAGTAGTTGCAGAGAGTAATTTTTTAGATTGCTGATGTCTTGTAGGTGAATCAGAAAAAGCAAAGAAATAAAAAAAAAATCATAGTACAATGAAGCAGCAGCATAAAGAATTAAATGCTTTACTATTATTTCTAGGTAATAGCCCTTGAAGTAGATTAAAATTGCTGGATATATTTTTAAAAAATGCTCTGATGTCTTATATAACCTTTTACTAGAAGTGAGGTGTCCTGCTTGAACTCTTAAATGTTAAATACATTATTACTTTTTCAAATCTTTGGAAACAGCATTGGTGCTGACTGGACACAACCCGCTTACTCCTTCTGAACACAGAGATGTGCCAACACGCCCAGCTTCCTCGGCAGAAGTTTTCCTATCAATAAACAATCTCGACAAATAGTTTCACAATGTGTAATGAGAAACATTATAACAGAGTTCAGGAGGAAAAAAATGAAGTCACAGAAATATGGACATCGTAATAAATGTTTTTTGAAAGCACTTAATTAATAAAATAGTTTAAGATATGACATCAGCCTCACAATGAAAGAGGTGTTTTACTAATCGAGACAGCTGAATGAAATTCAGCATTTTCAGTACATTACTTCTGGATCTGGAGTTGCCTGATTCTCTCCATACCTACGTCCAGAGACACTCTACACCACGTTTGTCTGTCCCACAGAAAGAACAATAAAAATGATGATTTTCATACAAAAATGCTGTGGCTTGCTGGGTGTGCCAAGTTTGGCATAAAAAGAGTGAGACTAATGTCTGCAATCCCCATCTACCTGAAGGTGAGTGTGGTCCAGGCAGCTTCACTGGCTGTCTCGACAGAACAGCTGCTAGCC